ACCCCGTCCCGATTGGACCATCGCACCAGACCGACCCCGCGGGCTCGAGGCATGCCCCGGTGAGATCCCCGGCGTCCGGACCCGAACCGAGCCGCGTCGGCCCCGAGGCCACGGCTCTCAAAGTTGTTTCCCACAACAGATTGGCGCTAGAAGGAGGGCCCGGAATGTCGGGTGATCACCCGAGCGGCTCAGATGAGCCCACGACTAAGAGGTCACACCCGATTGAAGCCTCGGGGGAACATCCCCCGCACGGAGACCATCGTGACGAACACCCCGCCACGACCTCCGAACGATATTGGCGAATATTCAATGACCCGGGCTTATCGCCGCCCGACGACGCCCTAGCCGACTCAACGCCCGTGTCACCCGAGGCCTTTCAGGACCTCGCCCGTCAAGTCCGAGCTCTGATGGAAATGGTGCAAACCATTATCCCGCTCATTTCTCATCCGGCGCACCCGCCCATGATCGAACCACTGCGACAACGCAAGGCGCCCGTTCGAGCCCACTTGACACCATCGGAACCCCCCACTTCGCCTCGGGTGCGACCGGCCTCACTCGGGGATCCAGTGAAGACAAACCCGAGCGGTCGCCCGGAACCCGAGGTGCTCTCTTCGGACTCCCTACGGGCCCAGTTGCGCTTCGTCAGCCAGCGACTCGACGAGGTGCAGGAAGAGGTTCGCAGGTCCAAGGGAGAGCCCAGGGAGAACGCACACCAAGGGTCTCCCTTCTCACCCGAGATACGGGACCTGATAGTCCCCCCGGACTTCCAGCTTCCCCCTCTGGACGCTTACCATAGCTCCACTGACCCAGCGGACCATGTAGCTGCTTTTTGCGCCCAAATAGCACTATACGGAACCTCTGATGCCCTGATGTGTAGAGCGTTTCCTACCACTCTGAGAGGGCCGACCCACGCGTGGTATGGCGGCTTGGAGATCAGAACGATCGCTTCCTTTGGCCAGCTTGCCAATGACTTTGAGCTCCACTTCGTAGCCTATGCATGACCAAAGCTCTCCGCGGCACTGCTCCTCGGACTCAAACAAAGGGAGGATGAGCCCCTCTCACACTTTGTGGATCACTTTGCCATGCAAATCCAGGGCTTGCTGGACACTCACCCCTCTTTGTTAGTGCAGGCGTTTGTGATAGGCCTGCGACCTTCTAGATTCCTCTGGTCCCTCGCGGAGCGACCTCCCACTACGGTGCTAGAGATGCTCCAGCGGGCTAATCGGTACATCGCAACCGAGGCCTGAGCGACCATGAGGAGAAGGGACGACCTCCGACCACGGGCTCCATAAGAGAGGCCAAGCACCTGCGGTGGCTACCCGATGTAGTCCTCATGAAAAGAAATCTAAGCCTTGCCTCAGTCTCTTCTGAGCGAAGGTTCAGTATCTACCTGACCCCCTCTCGGCTCGCGGTTGGCCCCAGCTTAAACCCCTCTGACTCTACACGGCTCGGCCGTAGACTACTTGAGTCTACCTCAACGCGGCCTGCCCGCCTGAGTTGTGTCCCTCGGTCCGAGCCACTTCCCTCGCCCATGGACTACCCGAGTCCACCTCAGCGCGGCCTGCCCGCCTGAGTTGTGTCCCTCGGCCCGAGCCACTTGCCCCGGTCGTAGACTGCCGAGCCCCCCTCAGGGCGGCCTTCCCGTCCGAACCTCATCACTTGGTCGCATGACGCTCGAGACCACACCTGCTCGGTCTGCCCGCTTGCGTCGTGCTCCTCGGCTGCATGACGCTCGAGACCACACCTGCGC